CCATCCATCCACCCATCCATCCATCCATCCATCTACCCACCCACTTACCCATCCATTCTTCCATCCATCCATCCACCCACCCATCCATCCATCCACCCATCCATCCATCCATCCATCCATCCATCCATCCATCCATCCATCCATGCATCCATCCACACACCCATCCACACTCCCAGTTGATATTTATACAAGGATTCCTAGACACTGGAGCGATGCCAGGCTCTGTGGGCAAAACCAGCAAGGAAGAATTAAGCACTCATGGAATCTGCGTTTCAAGAATTCACAGACAAGTAGGAAGGAGAAACAAAGCTACCAGGAGATACAAATCAAAGGGATAACAGGTTAAAAGTGCCCAGGATGACAGAGATGGGGACAAGTGACTCTGTATTCCATAAGGTACTCTTCTAGAGTCCTGTGGGAGAAGTGGGACCCAGGGGACTCCTGACAGCAAAGGTTGTATATTCAAACCCTGCTCTGACTCAGAACCAACCCTGAAGGTGGCTTCTGCTTCTGTCCCCACCAATACCTGTGGGCAAACGTGAGCATAAATCATCTTCTACAGGAGGGGTACAGTAATCAGCAGCAGGGGATACTCAGACATGATCCCAGATATCAGACAAGTTCCAAACTGAAATAGGTACGAAGAGCGTCTTTTCAGTGCTTAAAGCCTGGGATACATCGCTTGACGCACAGAGGAGTCTGAGGGAACCTCAGCACGCCCAGCCCAACTGCTTCATATCATGCTACAACCTCCGGCCAGTTCATACTCTACAGGATGAGGACAGCACTGTCCACCCCAGAAGCATGCTATGGGAGTGCATGTGGTCACCTGTCCCTGGCAGCTACTGCCTCCAGGGCAGGTTCCCTGGCCCCACGCTCACACAGCATACCCTGAACTCAGGGATTTTGTCTAGTGTCTTGACAGAGGCCCGTTGCCCTTGCATGGCTGTCTCCATTTCCAAATGTGCGCCCCCCCCCTTTCCTGCAGGCATTCCTACTTCTGGCCTGCCAAGACTCCATAAACTTTATATAGTTTCCATAAATCCAACGGCCCCTTTTTTCCTCTCACGTTGTAAAGGTGTAGGAAACAGTTTCCCTGGCGAGGTCTGGCCAGCTCACGGAGTGGTTGTGGGGCCCTGTGTGGGCAGCAATGAAGTAATAACAGCACTGTAAAATTGCCATCCCGCTCTGCCTGGCCAGTGGGGGTGCAGGAAAACCAGGCTGAGGGTTGGGGGTGGAGGGAGAACACCAGGCCCAGGACCCCAAAGATTGGGTAAAGGAGGGGCAGGAGACAGGGGAGGCCCTTCTCAAGGCCACAGGCCCAAATTCCCAGGTGCAATTCTGCCTCTGGCTTTGAAAAAAGAAAGATTATCTGGGAATGGAAAGTGGGTTATTTCCCTCTTCCTCAGGCCCCTAGGCGTAGGCAGGCTTCCGAGCTTGAAATCTCAGAGAAAAGGACACAGTCTGGGAGTTAAAACAGATTCCTTCAGACACAAGTGTAGTCCTCACCCCTAACCAAGGAAACCTCTCTTGGCCATAGATAGAGATCATTACAGAAAACCACAACCAATCAAAATGTAGAGTGGTGTAGCGGAGTCCCGGTGGTTTATCTCCTGCACCTAAGG